ATAAATTATATATCTATAATATGTCATTTTCATAATTTTGGAGAAGGCTAATCCTACCTTAGACCCATCCAGATTGTGTCTACATAATTCGATATAACTATTTTTGTTACGAATCAATTTCCACTAAAAAAAAAGGTAAAATGACACTCCTCAGAATTTAACTTTTCTAATTCTTGCGAGTGTAATTATAATTTGTGGTGTAATTTTATTCAAGTAAAAATATTCTGTAATAACAATTAAACAGAAACATCTTATTTTTTTTTTGTTCGCAAAAGATGTTTTATTACTTAAGAAACATTTGTAACTGTCAGTTATAAATAAAATAATGTACAAACCACTTTTTTTTTATCTGAATGTAATTAACTATTATTGAATTGAATATATCACAGAAATATCCTACAATGAGAAAATAACTTGATGTGACAACCTAAATTTCAACAAAGCTGTCAAATGTCTCTGGTGAGTCCGTTACAATCATTTATTTTGTCAAGATAACTAACTAACAACAATTGTTATTGAATTTTCCAATAAAATTAATTTTATGTGAATACATTGTTCGTCTTTAATTCTGTCATATTTAGTAAAAAAAGATTCAAATTAATTATAAATTTGAATTATACCTATTTTGCCAAAATAAAAAAAATAATTAACAAGCTATGTATCACATGGTTTTTTTATCTATCTGAAATATAATAGCATCTTACAAAAGTAACTTGAAAAAAACTGTAAATAAAATTAAAAAAAAAAAAAGGATTTTTTTGTCAAACAATAAAAATTTTAAATTTAAATTTAAAATATCAATCTTTGACACAAAATAAATCAATGTCATTATTTTACATTCACTGATATATGTCAATTATATATTTTGAAATAAATGACTCTCAATTATTTATTGAAATTGACATAAAAATTTTAATTTATTGAAAAATTAGCTTTATTCAGTATTTTAACTATAATAACATTTTTATTTCTATGTGATTAAAAAACTANAATTTATTGAAAAATTAGCTTTATTCAGTATTTTAACCATAATAACATTTTTATTTCTATGTGATTAAAAAACTAGCAAACTATTGATTATAATTTTCGCTAACACTGAAAATAATAGTCCTATTAATAACGACATGAGTAAGTAATTTAGTTACCCTAAAAAGTTTTTCTATTTCAGATTCGTACATTAATTATGCTGTATAGATAATTTAAGTTAATATAAATTTAATATCTCAATTAAAACAAGTATTTATTTTAATTAATCTCGAGTTAGTAAAATAGTAATCTCTAAGCGATTACTATTTTAACTTAAGTAACTTATATATCCAGAAAAAAACCAACCAAAACTTAAAAGATTTCTCAATTTATCTATATAAATCCCGGTTTTCTAGTATCTAATTATTAAATCTTTCTCAAAATTTCCAAGAGATTCAGAGATTAATTAAGCTCGTAATAATTTAAAAATGAACAACATAATGTCTGCTTTTTGTAAAACTGTATTCTATAGTAAGAGTATTTAGTATAATCTTAAAGCTAATTTAACTTTAAAATCATAATTATTTTTTGACAACACTGATCTTTTTTTAAATATCTTATTAACTCGAAAAATGAATTACAATAATACCCTTTTAATTTTAAAATAGTCAATGCTCTTTTTATATAAGTAACCAAAACATAGTAGAACATTAAACATGAAAAAAATATTTTCATAGTTTAACACATTTAGACCAACTATAAGTGTATCTACACTCAGTAAACGATAACGTATGAGTACATTGTGTTCACATGGGAATTCGAAACTATTAAATGGCATACTTGTTACATTTTCCTTTTGTTGACTTAAAATCTAATTAAAGTTCAGTAATGATAAGCTAGATTATGTGTCAAAAATTATTAAGTTAAAACAATATATTTTATCGATTCATAAATTATATTGAACTTGTATATATATATTAATAAGTATTACTTTTTTAAGTACGAATAAAAATATTTATTTTAATTAAACTCATGAAAAAGAACTCTAACCTAGGTTAAGTTGGGGAGGGGAGCATGAGCGTTCTCACTGTGGGGATATGGGGTATATCTCCCCTAAGACGAAACCCTGAGAACGCCACTGTACGTAAGGTAGTTTGAATTACACTCCAAAACAACTAATGGTTCATCTTTGAATAAAGATTAATAGCGGTCTAAAATTAAAAGGTGTTATGTACTTGTCATGTAAACGATAATAAATAACCTGTTATTACGCATTAATATTAATTTTATTAAATTATAATTTAGAGTTTACTATAACACTAGTGTAAATCTATTATTCAAAAATAGTGTTAAAAACCTTACCTTATATTTATTTCGATTGTCAAATTAAAATGAATGAATAATTACAGGCTCCATCAACTATTAAATAAATTAATATACGTCATCTATAAGATTGTGTCCGTCCCAAGATTTAACCACTAATAGAGAACAATTCAAAATATTAAATGTTTTAAAAACAAATTTATTAAATGTTTTAAAAACAAATTTATGAAATTTTATCAAACAAATTTTAAGCACTTTGCTATTGATAACTATTCTATCAAATATTTACATTTTTATCATTTTACTCTTATCAAATATTTAGATTTAATAAATAATACATCAACTCGTTTGTAGAAACTGTCTTGTAATAACATTTTGTACAAATACGAGACAATATCAGAGCTGTAACTTTATTTAATACCATTTAAAATGATAAAGAGTTGCGAGCAACAGTTTTTAGTGTCGATAACAAATCATGAACTTTATGAGTTGCGACTTTAAATTCAATGTATTGTCATATAGTCAATAAATATCGTGGAACTTATTTTCTAACTTAATTTAAAAGTACTACCCTAAACTTTAATGCTCAATTTTTTTATTAATAATGAATGCTTTTTCTTGCTTATTGAACTGTCAAAAATATTTGAAGCATCAATTATATCTATTTTTGATCACACAAATTGTTGATACATTTTCAATTTAACTTTGCATTTTAAATGAAAACAAGAAATTTTTAAAATGTACTCATTGAATATCAGAATATAATAGATTATAACTATTTATAGACATAATACAACTATAAATAATATACAGTATATAATATAATACAACAGTGGTGTATCTAGGATATTTTTACGATGGGTTATATTTTAATATTATTGCTCCTCAGCAAGTCCTTGTCGAAGCTTCCCCCCACGGATTATTAGTGAGGGAGAAGTAGAGAAAAAAATTGAGGGCTCTAGCAAAAAATAAAATATAAATTAATCAATAAGTTTTTATTAAGTAATTCATTTAAAACATTATTATTATATAGAGTGTACATGATGTACAACATTAAACAGTTTAAAAATTATTAACACTATGTATAGTCAACATACATATTTTTATTAAAAGACTTAATGTTAAATAATATTTTGATAAACATATTATAATGGCAGTCAAATGGAGTTGATAGATCTCCCCATTGACTTACTCTTTTTGAAATTTTTTACAATTTTTATACTATGTATGTTATATTTTGTAGCAGTGGCGGCTCGTGGCTTGGACGACGGGACGATCGTACACCTTACTAAAATGAATTAAAAGAAGAAAATTAATTGTATAATCTTATCTACATTTTTATTAAAAATGCAATTTTTTAAATAGTAAAATAGTTAAAATACATTTGTTGTGTGCAAACAATAGTTGTTTCTCTCTGCATATGCGGTACGCACGCAACACACGAACATGTGTGGTGACGACTAACAGCGTTGTCCGAACAATATATATATAAGTAACATTTCAAAATTAAAAATATAACTATGTAGTGTACTGTATTATATTAAATATTTGATATCATATACTATATGTTATCAAATAATTTTTTTATCAATTAGTGATGTCTATTATGTGATAATAACGTAAACGGACAAGTACAACGGTTAAATATTTAAATAAATTATAACCCAACAAGACATCGTGTCAACATTACATTAGCTGTTGGCAGAAGTTAACAGCCGTTTTACCAGAACCAAAATACTCGAGGGATGAGTATTTGTGTCTTCCCACTCAATTGCTTTAATCTAAATTTACTCTTTTCAAAAAATATTTATTTTGTAAGATCTCATTGAAAAAAAATTTTTTTTGGAACACACAACTAATATGTTTCAAACTTTGTATGTAAATACATTTCTTTTTTTTAACACCGGAATGGGAATTAGCAAATATTGCTTTTTAAAGGATTTTCAAATGCTGATTTAAAATTACAATAATAAATAACATCAAACACGATAAGGAATAATCATTGTTCTTTATTATAATAAAGAGTACAACTCTGTGCATTATATATTATCCGGTGGAGATAACAAATAAAACCACAAATTAAGATTAAATGAACTGAACACGAAGCCTTATCATGCAATCTAGTTTTGTTAAACATTTCTAGTAGAAGAGGGAATTTTGAAGTAACGGCATCATCATCAACTATTTTACTTGTATTTCCGGATTTCCCCACTGCGTTATTAAAATTTTATGTTTTGAAAAAGTGTTCGTATCTAGAGCTTACTATTCACCTAAACTCCCTTTCTGCGGAATTTTTATAACAAAATCGGATCGCACACCATGTTATTACTGAACTTCCACCCATATTTTATTTTAGTTTGTAATAAAACTTATAGTTTCAAATGTGAAATCAGATATTTTAGTTACTTTTAGATATACCGGAAATTTTAGATAAACAAGTTCTCTAATATTGATACGCAAATTTCGACATACTAATGATATTCGCTTTTTTATTATTAAATAAAAAAACATCTATCCACAATAATATTGGTCAATTAAATACTATTTATTCTTAATTAATTAAAATTATAGGTTGTTGTTATTTTAAAATAACTTACGTTTGTAAAAAACTTATCGGATGTATAAATTTTTAGATATTTAAATTGCTATTGGTGAATAATAACTTTGTAGATTATGTAAAATAAAATCAACAATAAAAATGAGTGAATGGTTTTATTAAAAACAATATATTACTAAAAGATTACAAAAGACTGACATACAGATGAATATAGATAATATTTGACAATAGGTATTCAACGAGCTTTTTCAAAATTAATATTTTGACAAATGGATTTTAGATTATATTAAATTAAACTATTTTCTACGTAGAAGATAAAAGATTAATAAATAAAATCGGTTCCCTCCTATGTTACAAAGCTAAAAAAATCTGGTTGAACTATATACACATCTTTTATCCCACTAATAAAAATTCTATTTTTGTATAATTTGCATACGGTTCTAGTGTTTTTCATTAAATTAAATGATCACAAGTGTAATTTAAAATTGGAAATCAAGGAAAGCTAAGTCCAACAATTTTTAAACACCTATGTATTGCCAAAAAATGTCTAAGTTTTAAAAAAGTTTAGTCATAAAAATAAAAGAAATTAAGAAATAAAGCTAACGTTTGTGAAACTCAAATTAGTGGCTTAAATTTCACTTTACAAAAATGCAGATTTTGATTTAAGTTATACAAGATATTTAGTGTTTAAACATTTTATTTTTACACTACAATATGAAGTTACCATTATGAAATATTAATTAATTACTATAAGCAGCCAATAAAATAATAATTTACCAAGAACTAAAAACGATTGTATGAGAAGCTAATTTTACCCGCTCTTCTCAATTAAATGTAGTATTGATAAGTACTTGAATATGTCTAAATTTGCTACATGGGTTATATCCATTCAACTACAAAATATTTTTTTATTGATAATTCTAAAAATATAAATAATATATAAAGTAAATAAGTTTTAACGTGTCTTAAATTATTTTCTATTATTAGATTTTTAATTTAAGTTGAATAATTTTTAACATAAAACAAAGTAACAATAGATCAATAATAAAACTTTTATAGTTTGTATTTATTTATCATTTTTTATTATTTTTCTACTTCTTCATAATCTGCTATTAATTTTATTATGTTCTGTTTAGCTGAGGTGAAAATTCCTTCTTCCATTCCTTCACCTACATAGTGATGCATAAAGGCTCTTTTTTTCGTTAAAGTATCATATTTTTTTAAAAGACTTTCCCATCTATACCTAACTGCTGTGTTATTACACAATGTAGTTATTGTTTTGGCAGTAGGAACTATATCACTATTTGGCACAGTAATAGGAGGCCGATAGCACAAACCAAACTAAAAATGATTTCAATAAATAAGTATTACCATGAAGTTATGAGAGTATTTTAAATGGATTAATTAACATCTTAAATTATTTTTTACTATAACTAACTTTAAATGGTGGAGAATTCATATTTGTCACAGGAATAGTATGTTCTCGTTGAATAAAAGCAATGGTTGTATTGACATCAGTAGGTGTTAAATCACCTCTAAACATCATGCAAATTGATAAATATTTTCCTTGTTGAGGATCAGCAATAATCATTTGATTGTTAACATCGAAACACATACGAGCAAGTTGTGAATTAGCTGATAAATTATTAATATTAGTCATAATAGGAGCATGAGTAATTAATGGGAAATGTAGTCTAGGCCACTGAATAAGATTACTCAGTAATTCTGATAAATTACTTGTCAAAGAACCCTCAAAACGAAGAGATGATGTTATACCTGATGAAACCTATAAAACAATATTTTCATGTTACTTATTATTTTTATAAGCTATATCAAAATGGTTTGTTAGCCCCATATGGTATGTGTTTTTTTACTACTGTGTTTCAAATTTACATATCAAATGTGTATCTAATTTTCATAACTTGGTATTTTTAACCTGTGTATAACATTGGACATAACTAGTATATTTATAAAAATTTTATCTTAGAGAAAAGATAATATGTAAGTAAGAAAATTTTATTACACAATAAAATTTATTGGATCAAATTTTTTGGTCCTGTGTATCATGTTAATATGGCAATTATTCTAAACTAAATTTGACATGTAAGGTTGATTAGAACTTATTTTTTACTTAAGATATTATTGTAGCAATTTTAATAAAATATTCTACAAAATGTATTTATAAAATAAATTTATGAGTATTTTTGTAAATAAATTCTTGTAAAAATATATATTTTTAATTATTTTAAGTCTTGAAGCTTTAAACAAAAAAATATGTATTGTTTTAAAAATTTAATTAAAATAAATGAGATTGTAAAGAAGTTTTACAGTAATTTTTTTAACCTCTAGAATTTTCAGTAATTTAAATAATAGGCTGAAGCAAATGTTTTTTTTAATTATATATTTAAATTAAATTTTAAACCTGAGATATTATCCTGTTAATATTAGTATATGTAGGTTTTATAATTCCTAATTTAAAACATATATTGTACAATGCACTATTATCAAATATCATAGAACAATTGACCAAATCTAAAACATGATGTGTAGTTAGAATTGCATTGTATGGTTCAACAATCACTGATGATAACTGAAAGATTAAACATATGAAAAATAAGATCTTAATAAATATAATTTTAAAAAATTTTTACTTGAGGTGAGGGATACACATTAAAATCGAGAACTGTTTTATTTAAATATAAGTCTTTAATCGATTCAATAAGCAATGTACCCAATCCAGAACCTGTACCACCACCTATAGATCTGAAGATTGCAATTCCTTGCAATGAGTTGCAGTCTTCAGCTAATGTTTTAAGTTGATCTAATATAGATTTTGATAGTCTTTTTCCAATTCCATATAGACCACTTGCAAAATTACTAGCTGCATTTTCTTTACCAGTAAAAATATTTTGGCTTGGAAATAAATCTTTGTAAGCACCTGTTCTAATCTCATCTAAATAATATTGAACAAATAATCATTCAGAATATATTAAAAAACATAAATAATTTAACTTTAATTAAATATAATATACCAATGACTGAAGGTTCAGTGTCTACTAACAAAGCTCTAGGTACATATTTTCCCATTTGAGATAAAGAAAATATAGAAGTAGAACTAGTTGTTAATTTTTGTACAGTTCCATCAGGATTAATACCATGTTCTAAACAAAATAATTCCCAGCATGCTGATCCAATTTGAATTCCTGCTTGGCCAACATGTATAAATATAAACTCTCCTTGAGTGAGTGGAAATGGTGGTGGTGGAGTTGATAATACTGTACTCTCTACTTCTTTTGACATCGCTTTTTTTAGCTTCTTTTTAATCTTATGGTTTTTTGAAACTTTTTTCTAAAAACATTTCTAAAACTTTTAAAACAATATTTTTTTGGATACATCTTATTTATTTTACCTTAGGCATTAGATGAGTTAATTTTTAATTACAATATATTGTATATAAAATATTTATCTAATTTTCAAAACAAAATATCCCATTAATATTAATTAAAAAAAAAATCATACTATTTGTTGACTTTTACTGTTTTAATTTTTAAAATGGTTACTAGACAATTAAATAGTAAATACAAATAGAATATCAGTATTACATAATGAAGTAAACTAAATACTTCTTAAAACAACAACTTTATCATTTTATACAATTAAATATATACATTTCAAAAAACTATTTTTGAAATAATATCAAACGTCTGGAATCACAACTAAACTCTTTTTAAAAACGACAATAATTTTAACTATATACATTAATTAAAATAATAATAATATTAAGACAATACAATTAATAAATTGAATATTGTTTCATTATAATAAATATACTTTTAATGAATACTATACAAATTAATTTATATTTCTACTCCACTCATTTGACTCTCGGCAATTTTTTAAGTTCGTGAATTAACCATAAAGAGAGTGAAAGTAATGTAAGTGACCCCGATTGATGGGCTGCAGCAAGGTAAGTAGGAACATATGTCAAAAGTGTTAANGGTAAGTAGGAACATATGTCAAAAGTGTTAAAAGTCCAAGCCCCATCTGAAATTAAAATTATTACATTAATATTATTATTTTATAAAGTTCATTAATTTAGAATACAAAGATGAACTTTTGAAAAGTTGTATAAATAAATTACAGAAAAATTACTTATAAAACACAAAATACATATGAAAAATAAGCATTATAGACCAAAAAATAATCATTTTCTTTAAATCTTTACTTATACACAAAACTAATGTGTATATTAAACTATTAGGAAAGTGCTTAAATCTTTCAATAATTAGTACATCATTTTGCATAGTATAGTTTTTAAATAAATTATACTATGAGATGAATTTTTAATCAATATTAAAACATCTAGGATTTCCAAATAATACATTTTTTAAGACATGATATATTTCTAAAACCTCTAATTATTTTAAAATTAAAAGAAAAAAATTCAGCACAGTGGAGATGTAGTATAGATTTAATATGATAGTGATTAAAATCACTATCAAAAGAAACGTTTCAATGCAAATCTATAGATAGTGTTTAATTCTAAGAAATTGGTGGATAATTACAAAAGTAACATCAACTTCTATTTCCTTTATTATATCCAGATTAGTAATTCTTAGATTCAAAAATATAATACATATTTTTTTAATTATATATTATATAATTTTTATAATAAATTGTTTTCAAATTATTACTGATTTTGATTTTTAATAAGTAATTACTTTAAAAAGTAATCATTTTTAACCTACTTTTTTTGTGAAAGTTCTTTATAAAAAAAAAAAAAAATTCACTGCCATAACTTTTAGCTCAACTTGCAAGTTTGAAATTGACATCATTAAATAGTAAAAAATGGTATTGTTAAGATTAATAAGGAGTCGGCAAATTTTATAATTACTATTTATGGTAAATTTATCAGAAAAGCTCAAATTTTTTTGCATTTTTATCGTAATATATCACTTCAATAGAAATTATAGTAATCATTTCTAATTAACATTTAGTGTTTAAAAAGATTCTACAATTGAAATATGCAGAACTGAATTAATTTTAATGATTTACTTTAACTAAAAAAACCAATAAAAAAAAATTATTAAAAAGATCTACTCAATTGAGTGTATTATAAAATTTCATTATAACTGTAAAAATCCATTTTTAAACTAAAAATAATTTTATTTTTAGATTAATGATTTATATAAAAAAGCAAAAATATTTAAATAAGTTTAACATCTTATGTCTTAAGAACATTATTCTATGTCAATTAAATTTTATAATATTAATGAAAGTCAGTGTATTTCCCTTATAAGATATTTTAAAATAATATAAAATACAGTACAGAATTTTAACACAAAAAATGACATATTTTGGAATACAGTAGCCATTTTCACTAAGAAGAATATCTATATTTCAAATTTTTTTTTTTCATAGTAAAGTATATAATATAAACTATAATTTAAGATTAAATAAAAGTGTCATTATTTCCGGAACATTTTCAAAAATTACATCGAAAAAACTTAACTTGTGTGCAAAAATTGATTTTTTGAATTCCTCCTGCGGGCAGATTTAGAATCAGATTTTCAAAAAAATTATATCAAATAAACGAAAAATATATAAGGTTTTAGTATAAAAAAAAATAATTTTAATTTGTTTAATTTTTAAAAAGTTATGGCAGTTTTAAGTATTAAAATATTTCATGTTAAACATAGATTTTTATATAAAAATTACATTTTTCATTAAATTCAACAGCCATTTTCCAACAGAAGAAAAGGTGTCGGAACAATTTTTTTTTTTTGAACTTAAAGTATTTATTATAAGGTTGAATTTTACATGTGTTTAAAGGACGCAGTATTTCCAGAACATTTTCGAAAGTTAAGAAAAAGTGCTACTTTTTATATGTATGTATCAAGTTTTGAACGCCTCCTGTATAAAAGGAAATTTTCCAATTTAAATTAAAAGTATATTAAATGAAAGAGGTATATAATTTGTGTTGATACATACATTTTTTTAAAAGTTATAGCAATTTAAACTTGAAAATATAAAATCGAAAATCAAAATTTTAAAACAAAAATAGCATGTTTTTTTTTTCATTTTATAGTATATGACATGAGCATTAATTTGATATTTGTTTAAAGGATGCATTATTTCTCGAACAATTTCAAAAGTTAATTTTCATAAAAAAGTTGCTATCTTAAATCCCCCCTTGTGAGCAGGTTAAGTGTTAGATTTTCAAAAAAATTATACCAAATGAAAGGGAAATATCTAAGGTTTTAATACAAAAAAAATTAAGTTGTTTTGTTAATTTTTGAAAAAGTTATGGTAATTTTAAGAAAAAAAAATGAAAAAAAAAAATAACAAAATTTACAGATTTGAAAAATTTTATTTTTTTAAAAATTTTCCCCATTAACTCGGAGNTAACAAAATTTACAGATTTGAAAAATTTTATTTTTTTAAAAATTTTCCCCATTAACTCGGAGCAACAGAAATTTTTTCAATTTTTAAAGGTAAAGTCTTCAACTAAATATGATTTGTGATCTTTTAACATATTGTTCATCAAAATCGGTTCAGTGAGAGCTGAAAAAAATGTCAACAGACACAAAAAAATATATCATAGTAAAATTAATACCTTCTCAGCAAGGTATTTAACATTTAGTTAAAGAAAATAAAGTCAAAATCATTAAAATATTATATAAGTGTGAGATATTTATGTTACTTGAATAATGATACTGTATTAATTATTTACATGGCTATAAAAAAGCTTAATTACATTTTTAATATTAATTTTTGCAAAATTAAGGCTTACTTGACACCAAGAAAAAATAGCTAAAGTTGTGACAGCAGTTTTGGCTCTAGGAGGTAATTTACTTTTCTGTGACATAATGTATAATGCAGATAAAATTGATACAGTACTCATACCCTAATAAAAATAAAATTATAAAGTATTTTTTTAAATATAGAAAACATACTATTTAACAAACTATTCTTTAATTACAAGTATTCTGTGATTGAATTGAACAGTAGTTGGATTTTCAGTAACATTGCTAATAATAGGGTCCATATTTAATATATCATCAGGAATCCAGTTATCACCCATTTTAGGAAATGAATTATAAACCAACCCAGCATCTAAACCAGCCACAAATGCTCCTAAAATTGTAAAAAAATAAGTAAAAAAATTTTATAAGTAAATAAATAATAATACATAATATGTATTATTATATTATCATAAATCATATATGAATCATTCAAATTTTGTAACAGATCGAAAGAAAAAAATTTTTTTTTAGCTTTTTATAGTACATTAAAGGCCAATGCAGCATTCTCTAAAGAGGAGCTTTCTTAACATTAAATACTCTATGATGAATGGTTAGACCATCATTGGAGAGAGGAATGGTGATTCCAATTGCTGAACTAATCTATTGTTTAGCAAATGAAAATACATGTGACCGAGTCTCGAATTTGTTATAATGTACATCAAGTATTTGAACATTACTGACTCGGCCAAACTGTCCATCTTAATAAAAAATAAAAATAGTAATACTAATAATAATGATAAAGAAATAAGTAATATACTAACCAGACATAGCTGTTAGAAACACGATTCCTGTAGCAGCTATGGATAATCTAAAAATTTTTTTACTAACAGTTCCCATAATTTTAACTGGTAAAAGTATTCGTAGTGAGTTAGTTAGTAGAAATGAATATAATATGAATGCTAAACCAAGATGGGAAGCTAATCTATACTGAGATACTCTAGGAACATCAGTAGGTTTGTCAAATCTATTTTCTAAACCAGATTTAACCATGTACCAACCCATAAGTCCCTAAAACATTTTTGAATATAAATTAAAAATAATTGTATCATCAATGATAAAAATGGTAATTTTAAATTATGCCATAAAATTAGTTAGAAACTTACTTGCCCTGCTAATAATATAGAACAAATCATAGAGTTTATTTTAGATGTACGACTCAGTTTACGTGTTAACCATAATGCACTCATTGGAATAAAGAAAGCTGCTCCAATACACCGACCCCAAGTTCTATGTGCATATTCCATCCACCATATCCATTTAAATTCTTCAACAGTCATCCTTGAATTTATCCTAATTATTAATTAAAAAATGATACCTTTAAATGTATGCAATCAAACAAATAATTTTAAGCTCTCAAAATCTTATATTTGGTTCACAATTTAAGGAATTTAGTCTATTTCAATAATGTTTTTTTTAAAATATTATTTTAAGAATTTAAAATATACATCAAGCAAAAATAGAAAATAATCTTTAACATTAATGTTTTAAAAAATGTATTTGAAAAAATAAAAATGACCCAAATAAAAAATGCTAACATTAACNATTTGAAAAAATAAAAATGACCCAAATAAAAAATGCTAACATTAACTTTTAAATTTTGAAAAATACTTGTAACATTACAATTTATTTTCAAAATAAGAACCAAATTAGGCTTTTTTGCAAAAATATAGTTCTCTACTAAAATAATTAATTTTAACTGAGATAAAATATTAGCATAACAATGCATACTAGAACAATAAGTAATCAACAAACATAGTTTTTTGTTTTTATAAAAAGTCATTGAATATTGGAATTTCATAATTCATTTCAACAAAAAATTAAATGATTTATTGGAGCTTATTTATTTATGAGAGCCCAATTCAGCTTATTCATAAAATGTTTTTTTATTGTGATTTATATTATTAAGTAATATGATTTAATTTTAATTAAAAAAAATGATTAATCATCTTAAAAAATGTTTTTTAAAATAATGATTTCTTTTTAGTACATTAAACATTTGATACTTCCACTTTATTTTATAAACTGCTTTAACAATAATTATTAAACACTTTTTAGTTAAAAAAATATTTAACAAATATACATTACATAAAATTTACATTTTAAACTCAGGATATTGTTGATATTTATTAAATTCTTCATCCCACTGACTCTGAGTAGTTGGTAATTTTTCACCGAGTAATTTCCAATGAACCATAGATAAACCTGATTCAGTAAGTCTGGTTACTCCACCTAAAGCAACAGCAACAAAAACCATTCCACTACAACCAAGAAACCAGTAACCAACAAACTTAGTATCTGTTTCAATAGTTTTTATGTTACTTGAATGTCTTTTCCATATATTTGACTAAAATTTTTAAGATTTATAAGTGTTTATTGCATAACTATTACACTTTTATTAGGAATGATAAACATTATTACTCAACTTACATAAATATTTTTTTTTATTAATGACGATTTATAAATATATCTAGATTGTGATGAAATAGTACATTCAAGTTTATTCTACAATAAAAATAATTTCCATGTTAAATTAATTTTTAGTAATTATAAAATAAATAATGCAATGATATACAATACCATGTTAGGAATACGCCATAAACACAATTTAGAACACGAACTATAGAAAAAGTTCCTTATACCTAACATGATTCAAATTTAGAATACGTTCCTCACTTAAACTACTTTACTTAAATTTTAAATCAAAAAGTCAATGATCAATTTTTTGAAAAGTCTTAAGAAAATAATATAATAAGTCAAACATGGTAATAAAATTTACAACAAAAAGCTTAGAAACATTAAATCGTTAAGTGGATTTCACAACATGAGTAATAATATTTTTATCTCGAACTTATCTATCCGGCTTACAAAATATTTTAATCAAAATTATCAAGACTTCATAATCTGATAACTCAGCTGATTTGGAAATAAACCTTATCATTATACATGCCCACAATAGCAATCGTAATATTTTTATACAGTAAATGTACCAATTCATTTCAAATTAATTAATTTAAAATAAATATTTATTATTTGATAATTTAACTAACTTTAAACTTGAAATATTCTGTAATAATGAATCTCTGTTTTAATAATTGAATATAATATACTCTTATTTAGTTTTATAGTTAATAAAATATCTTGAACTTTTTTTAACTTAAAAAAATGATAGAAGTGTCAACTAAACTTATTGGTGGACCTATTTTTATGCCTGGTAGCAAAATTGGATGCTGTATTACTTTTACACATCCTCCATTACCATCAGATTCTAGAAGTCAGAGTAATGAGTATGTAAATAATAAATTTATAAAAAAGATATATAAATATAATTTTTTAATTTTTGTTTTATTTGTACAGTGATGTTTTAGAAAATTTAGCATGGGCTAGTGTACAGATAAATTGTCTTTGTTTAACAAATGATAATATAAATTTTCCACTTGATATGAGTGTTACTAAAGATGAACGTTTCTTGGGCAATTCTGAAACATCTTTTGCACCATGTTTAAGTGAACATGGGCATGTTGTTTTGTCTACAAAACCAAAAATTTTATTTTGTGATGTCAGATTATCACCGGGTGAAAGCAAATCTTGTTAGTATTTATTTAACATATATGAGTTCTGTTTTTTTTTTGAAAGAGTAATTTGAAAAGAGTATATTAAGCTTTTTTTATAAAAGCTGATAAGTCATAAAAGTAAAAAATGTTCTCTATCATCTATAATCCAACCAGAAAATGTCAATTTGATTTTATTAAGAAAATATATTTTTTTTTGTTCTAAAAAATTTACATTAAAAATTTTTATATTATAGATTTATACAGTGAAACATTATCAAATGATGCTCCACCATCATATAAAGGTCATTTGGTAAAATATGCTTATAAAATTACTGTTGGAATGCAGCGCCTAAATTGTCCTATTAAATTATTAAGAGTGCCTCTTCGGGTTGTGGTTATTTGTGGTAATTTTAGTAATCTAAATAACTTACAGAATTTTAATTTAATTCTCATTGTAATAATTTTTAGGGCTAACAGAAGGAGCAACATGTGAAAATAGTGTAGACTTATCACCAAGTAATCCATTTATAGAATCCAAGGATAAACATGAAGAAAGTGATATGGCTCTTCAAATTTTACAGGTATTTTTATCATTTATAATTTGAGATAAGAAGATTTTTTTTAGGATGTATGTAAACAATTCAAATAATTATAAATTTATTTTTCTCATAGAATAATTAACAGATTTTATACTAAACTGAAAAATTCTGGTCTTTATACATGTTATTATCATATTAAATGTAAGTTCTATACAGAAACTTGTGCATTTAAGATCTACCCAATTTCATTCTTTATAACATTACCCTCAAAATAAACTTTTGCTGTATTTATTTTGAACAAATATTTCAATACTACAATTTTTAAATAAGATTGTTGTATTTTTAGTTATATTCAAATTAGTTTATAATATTATTTAGCATGTATGACTTTTCAGAACATAACAGCAAAACGTAGTCCAAATTTTTATAACATAACAAATTCTAAAGGAAAAGTAGCTCGTTTTTGTTTGTTTAAACAAGCTTATAAACTTGGAGAAGACATAGTTGGAACTTTTGATTTTGAACAGACTGATGTATCATGTATTGAGGTAATATTACAATATATTATTTAATATATGTTAGTGGTTTGTCTTTAAATTAAATCTTAAAACTATGTAACTGATATTTTATCCCATTATCTTAGTATTAAATTTAATAAATAAATAAATAAAATTTTTTTGAAAAAAGCACTTGCTTTCCGCAGGATTTATTAATTATAATAAAATATTTTTTAGTAAAGAGTTATGATAGTTTTGAGGTTCCTTTCAGTAGGCTTAATTAAATATAAAAAAATGTTTAACCTGAACAAACTGCAAACAGAACTTAAAGTGAAACATTTTCAATCCCTGTGTTTCTCTCTCTTTCTCTCTATGGTTTCTATCCGTAGATTAGTTTGCAGACATCTTCCAGTCTTCCCTTATATCCGCCTTCCTTTTCATTTCCACATATGAGTCACATCCTTGGTCCTTTATTATCTGTTGAATGAATTCCAATCTTGGTCTACCCCTACGGTTCTTTCCTTCTACTGTTCCTTCTATTATCAATTTCAACAATCCTTCATGTCTCATTATATGACCTATCCATTCGTTGCGTCTTCTGACTATGTTATTCCATAGTAACTTTCCATCTGATATTCTTTCCAGTACTTCTACATTGGTTACTCTGTCCATCCAACTTATCCTTAGCATCCTTCTATAGCACCACATTTCAAACGCCTCAAGTCTTCTTTTTTCCTCCATTGCTATTGTCCAGGTTTCACACCCGTACAGAGCAATGCTCAATACATACGTCTTTAATAGGTTTTTTCTTATTTTTAGATTCATGCTTCTTGATGTAAATATAATTTTCTTTTTGTTAAAGGCTATTTTAGCTTTACAGATACGTTTTATAATTTCACTTCTGTTTTTTCCATCCTTGCTGATTGCGCTTCCCAGGTATGTAAATTCATCTACTTGTTCTATTTCTTGGTTTTGTATTTTTATCTGTATTCTTGTATTATTTTTCCTTTCACATACCATTACTTTTGTTTTCTTCACATTTATTCTCATTTCCAACTCTTTTTCAAATGATTTATCCATAGCTTTAATTATTTGAGCCAGATCTTTCTTGCATTCAGCAATTAAAGCTATGTCATCGGCAAAACGTAACATACTTATTTTTTGTCCGTTAATCTTTATCCCTAGATTAGCATTTTCCTCTATCATATCTATTGCTTCTTGAATATATGCGTTGAATATAATTGGGGATAATATACAACCTTGTCTAACTCCTCTGTTTATTTTTACTTCTTCCTCCTCATCCTTATAACTGTGGATTCATCCTTGTATAGGTTATACAGAAGTTTCCTATCTGTGTATTTTAACCCCAATCTTTTCATCATGTTAAACATTACCTTCCAATTTACGTTATCAAATGCTTTTTCGATATCCACAAAAGCTATAAATGTTTGTTTGTCTTTCCTAATCCTTTTTTGAATGATTATCCTTAATGCCAATATTGCTTCTCTCGTTCCCATATTCCTTCTAAACCCGAATTGGTCTTTTTTCAATGATTGTTCTATTTTACCTTCAATACGTTTGAATATAATCTTTGTTAGTATTTTAGAGGCATGGGATAGCAAACTAATAGTACGGTATTCTTCACATTTCTTTGCTGCTGTTTTCTTTGGGATGGGCATAATTAGGTTCTTTATGTAATATTCAGGCAATTCACCGGTTTCGTATATGACTTTGATTATTTGAAATAATTCCCTTTTAACTTTTTCTCCCGCCTCCTTCCAAAGCTCTGCTTGTATTCCATCGATTCCTGCTGCTTTTTTATTTTTCAGATTGCGCAAAGCTTTGTTGAACTCTTCTCTCATAATTGGGTCTATTTCTTCATCTTCTTCAGATTTATCTTCTTTGTTTGATTCGTTGGTTTCATTTTCCTTAAGTGTTTCCCCCTTATACAGGATTTCTAGATATTCTTTCCATCTTTTCACTATATCATTTTGTTCATATAGCATTCTTTCGTTGTTATCTTCTATTCCCCCTGCTCGGGGCTTATATTGACCAAAAAACATTTTCACCATTCTATATGCTTCATCACTACTTCCTGTCTTTATGATGGTATCTATTTCATTACACTTTTCTTCCAAATATTTTTCTTTTGCTTCCCTCGATTTCCTAATGATTAGATTCCTCAGTACTCTGTATTTTTCCTGTCCATCTATACTGTTCAAACTCTTGTATTTCCTACTTTCCTCTATCATGTTGACTATTTCCGTTGTAATCCATTCCTTTCTTGTTGCATTGTTGCTATTTCCTAGAGTTTTCGTTGCAGCCATTGTAATTGTATCTTTCAAGTTTTGCCATTTTTCTTTAATATTTTGGGATTCTTCAATAACTATATCATTAGTGTCTTCACTATATTTTTTGCTTATTTTCTCATCTCTCAGATTTTTAATTTTCCATTGCACTATTTTCTTCTTTTTATCCATTATTCTTTTAAATTTAAGTTTGCATTTCATCATTACTAGATTGTGGTCGCTATCCGCTCCTGGGTAACTTCTACTTTCCTTTACTTGATTTTTAAATCTGTTCTTAACCATGATGTAATCTATTTGGTATCTATTTATGTCTCCTGGCATTTTTTCACGTGTATCTTCTTCTTCGATGGTGATCGAAGCAAGTGTTTGTGATTATTAAGTTATATTTCGCACAAAATTCTAATAAGCGTCCTCCTTCTACATTTCGTGTTCCCAACCCAAAGGCACCTGTTACATTTACTTATTCTTCCCCTACAACAGCATTCCAATCACCCATTACTACCAGATTCTCTTCCTCTTTAACATTTTCGATTATTTTATCTATATTTTCGTATACTTCTTTTACCTCTTCATCATTACTATTTGATGTCAGCGTATAGACTTGAACTACTATTGTATCTTTTGGTTTCGTCTGGAACTTGACTACAATGATTCTATCGTCATATTGTATATAGCCTTTAACTTTTTTCCTAGGGTTTTATTCATTATAATCCCTGTGTTTAACTATATAATATCCACAAAAATATATAAATTTTATCATTTTTTTTTTTTAGAATAAAAATCCTATTTTCTATCATTTTTTAAAAAAAAGTTGTCATCCTTTTAAAATAGTAACAATTTATGTTTTACAAATGAAAACATATAACTAGCTATATCAAGAATATAAAATGAGTGACAAAATCTACCAGGGATTTCATGATTGTATCATTTCTTAGACATTTTGTTATGTTCAGTTTTCAAAAATGCTTTAATTAGTCTGGGTTTCCTTTGTTCGATAAAAAATTGACAATTGATTAATAAGTTATTATTTACATGCAAGGTAAAAGAAAAAATATGTAAAAAAAAAATAAATATTTTTTATAGTTATTTTAAAATTGTTAATTTTTACATGCCTACTAATTATCTATGACAATTTTCATCGTTTATTCTTAAATATATTAAACATTTTTAGCTCTGACATTTGTATTCATGTTCAAAAATCCAATAATGATTTAAATTCCCTCTAAAAATATTATATCAATGACTAGAGATTAAAACTGATAAAAATTTCCTAGATTATGTGAAAAAAAGTTGAAAATTGGTGTTTTCCCTGCTATCACAATGATTTTCAATAAACCTATCAAAATTATAAAAAAATGTAAACTTGTCTCTAAATTATTATAAGACGCACCCAATAAATGTTATGATGATATTCCTAATATACAAAGTTTTACTCTAAAGTTATTTAGTTTATGTATCCTCTGAACAATTTCAAGAAATGAGGATAGCTGGTTATTGCAATAGACTCTTCAATTTTTAAGCATTACAAATTATCATCACAATACCAACTACATTAATTTTTGCTACACTCAAATTTATAATTAGATGGAGAATGGACTAAATAATGTTTTGGCTGGTTAGTTACCAGTTTTTAGATACATATACTTGAGTTGATATAATTTTTAAGTATTGACAAGAGAGATGCATAACATAGTAATATTTTTATACTCTATTTTGAGATAAACTTGTTTAAATTTTATAACATCAGTATGACAAATTTAATTATTATTATTAAAAATTATTTAAACTAATTTCCATCTATTTGTTTGATAAAATAAATTTTATATTACATTTAAAATTATACTGAGAAATAATAATTTTTTTTCAATTATATACTTGATATCATCATGAGTTATGAAAATAAGAAAATCCACAGTAAAACTTTATCCAGTATATTTTTATTAAGAAATTATGTTATGAATATTTTAGTAAAGTTATTAAATTACACTGTATAATATCTTATAAACATTTACTATGAAATTTTTCAATGTGATTTATTAATTACCATCAAATAACATAAATTTGTTTGTATTTTTTAGTTTACAGTTAGTTTACAGTGTGAAGAAGAAGTGAATAAAGAATTTATTGTTTCCAATCCTAGGTCTCGTAAAGACAATGTGTCCATCTCTTCATACAACACTCAACATCAATTTTGTGCAAATACTTTAAAGTCATTTTTACAACTAGCTATTCCTTTGAATGTAACACCTGCATTTAATACTCTTCTAGGTATTAAAATTATTTATTATTCAGTAAAAATTATAGTTTATCAATCATATTAAATATAATTAAACTTGTTTCTTTTTCTTTGTATGAAATTTAATACTATCAGTAAGTGTCAAATGGCGACTACATTTTGAGTTTGTCACCAGCACAAAAGAAAGTGGTGAACGTTTGGTTAAGACCAAAGAAGGTTCTTGCTGGACTGGCCCTGAACACATTGCCATTGAAACTATGGTGTGGGACTTGCCTATACATATTTACCCTTCAGTACCATCTACAGCTAGTGACCCACATGCTCAAACAAGAATAACAATCGCTATTTGAATTCTTTTTAATTAAATAAAAAAAAAATTATTAATCATCTTTTTTTTACACCTTATTTTTTGTTTATTATTTAAATCTTGATAAATTATGTATTTTTATTTTGTTATTAAAAATTGTTTAAAAAGGGACCTTTTCTCTTAGTGCTCCATTTGTGTGTGTGAGATTTTTTCTTCCTCTCCTTGTCTAGTAAACGACCCTAATATCCTTTCACAAATTTCAAATTACGTAAATAACACAATAAAACGTGTCCCTTTGTGGGTTGTTATTAAAAGATGTAATGTCCAGTTTTACTCGTGGAACATTAATCATTGAAAAACACGTTGACTGTTTTAGACATATAGGAAGTTTTATAACTGATGAAAACTCGCGATCCTCTAGTAAAATAATCATTATCATTGTGACGTGTACAAAATGATATATTTATTTCAAAAGCTTCTGACGGGCCCGTAAACTTTGGTAACCCTTGATAACATGAATACGGTGATAGTACGTATTAAACAATTATGTCATACAAAATAATTGTAATATTATGCAGCTGAAATAGTTATGAAATGCTAATCATTTAACAAACAAGAAACCAAACGGTGTGTAATTTTATACACAAACAAAAGCATTCCAAAATATATGAATATTAAAATAACTTCCGGTCGGTCAAACATCATCATAAATGTCTGAAAGGCTGCTTTGGATTATCATGTACCTATATGCGATAAATCGTTCGTATTTTAAGCGAAATCATCCACGAAAATTCTTTATGGTCATTGTCTCCTTTCTAAAAGTGCTTTCATGTTGTTAGATTACAAATATTATTACAATACCGACGAATTTCAAAACAAAATACTGCCGTTTGGAATAATTTCAAACAGTAGAACAAAAAGTTTTTATCAAAAAAGAAAAAATACAGCCAACATTTTTTTTTTATTGTTAAAACAATTATATTTTTGTTACTCGAACAAAATATTTATTTGCTCGATAAATTTTTTATTCTTGTAAAAAATGATTGATGTTAAATAACAAAAATGAATTTGTTGATTTTACTAAGTTGTTATTTCAGTGTAAATGTCAGCGTAGCTGATATCCAAGACAACATACTTTACAAAAGATTATAATAATTGATTTTACAGTCAATGGGAATTTAATAACGCGCTGTCGATAAATTAGCGTGCGTGAAGTTTAAGTATCTTCGATTTTCTTCTGCTCGTCCTTTTCGAGTGATTTATTTGTCAACATTAACTTTTAATTTTCATGAAAATCGAACAGCTAAACTTCCATATACATTTACAAGTAACGGGTCTTGTTGAATAGGGTGAGGTTGATGAATCGTTTCAATAATAATGGTTATTCGAAAGAAGCACCACAATACACGCACTGAATTTATGTATGTACACAGCATTAATGTTGTAGAAATTGTTACAACTACTCCTAAATTTTGAAAATTTTTTTATTAAAGAGCAATTAAAAAAGAAAAACACCGAACTATTTTCTGTTTATTTTCATTTTAGAATCAAGTCATATTTTTATGTCATTTATATAACTGTCGATAACGGCTAATAAAATGACTTTTTAAAACTATATTTAGTTTCAAATGTAGTACTTATATTTTAGACACTTAAATTTAAATATCATCATAGGCATTAGATAAACAGTTCTACGGTGTTTTGTACGAAGATCACACGATAATATTCAGTGTACATATTTTAATAACTAATAGGCGTACAACGCTTCAGTCAAAAGCTAATTGAAATTCCGCGTAACGTTTATTATTTTTAATATAAAAATCTACGAGCCGCCTTTTGAACAGTGTTCATTTTTTTGTCGTCGCATTATTATTATTATTATCATCATCATCATACATATATATTTTTTAATGACGAGCGTTTCACGTTTAAAGGCTTGTGAGGGACGATTAGATCCGCGTGTTCAACAGATTAAAGACTTTAAGCGCACCCTCTCACTTTGTATATATTGCGTGTAACGAGACGGAGGAATTTTTATACGCTAGTTTCCCCCGTCCCAACCCAATAGAAGAGTGTAACAGCGGTGATGTCAACCATATAAAAGGCAGCTCACCCCTCGGTCCGTTGCTGGTTTTGCGTGTGCTTATTGTTTGTTGTATTAGCAATTGTACATGGTCGTCGTTGTTATTTAATAAAATGTGTAATCAATTTTTTTTTTATGTACACCGACCATTGCGAATCCACCCGCGTAAACAGAGACGGGGATATGACAGAGTTATATCGTGTATTTTCTTTTTGTAAAGGTTCATGGAGTGGCTACTTCAATGTGCAATCGTGACTAAATTGTTTTCGTTTAGTATTTAGGATAGACATCATGATAAAGCATTATTAAATGTCACAGAAATAACTTATTGATCAAAGGAAGATTTTTTTATGACAAGCAGATTATTTACAAGACGATAAATACCAAATTTATTTTGTTGGATAATTTTCCAAATATTACAGTCTTAACCGTCTAACTCTAATTAATCAGACCTATTGAGAAATATAATTTTTCCCGATAGAACGCTCGGTAGTATTACAATTTATTTTGTAATTGGAGCCTGCGATTTTTCTCTTATTTTCGTTTATATGTGATTAATAATGTGTGTTATATTTGTTTAAAATATGTGTAGTAAAAATAACCAGCAAGTAAAACAAGCGGCTTTTTTAAACTTTATATATTTTTTAATACGTTCTTACTGCATTAATAGTGTTATTTTTAGATGTATTATTATTTCAGTAATGCATTTTATAATTAAAAATCAACAATATATCGTTGATATTGAAAATTTATCATTTGTGATCAATTTCATTAGTTTATACAAGTAGGTAATGATAAAAAAAAATTTAAACAAGTATTTTATCTGGAAGGAATTAAAATATTTTTTTTTAAAAATTAGCTTTATAAGTGTAAAAAGGGAGAATACAACTCCCAAACTCTCTTAGTTATCCCGCTAACCTAAATATTTCAAGTTTTTTTTATTGTAAATGATTTTTTCTCCATTTGGTAAAGTCTTATGTTATTTTGATAATATCCAATTATAAATTTTTAGCACGTAAATAAAATTTTATAATAGAATATTGTATTTAATACAAAAATTTTGAATATAAAATAAGAAGAAGCTAAAAATAATGTTAAGTCATAAGAAAAAAAGAAACAAATATTTTTAACACTTCAACCTAAGGATAAGAAATAAGATATCTTCTATAAATGAATATTTTTTAAAAATAATAAAAAAGAAACTGGAAGCCATGAATATATGATCACGGAGAAGATTATTGAAGGCCAGTTGGATAGAATTAAAAGTAACATAAATATATTAAACCAAGTAAATGAAAATAGGATTCTGTTAAATATCATAAAAGAAAGGAACGGGAAAATGTTCGTTCACTTAACCCGTTTTTAATGAACATATTCGAGGGACGTACATATATATAAACATGAAAGAAGAGAAAGAACAAGAAAGACATAGTTAAAAGAAATGACAAGACAAGCTGGCTATAATTAATAAGCAGACATGAAAATACTGACTATAAACAGGGAAGAATGGAAAACCAAATTTTTTAACAAGGGAAGGCCTTTAGGAGAAGAAAAAGAGAGAAATATAAATACAAGGAAAGCAGATTCGTATAAATATTTCAATCCAAAATTACACTAATTAGAGAAAAATTGACCAACTAGTGCAAAAACTTCATGAATCCACATTGTTTTAATTAACCAATATTTGAACAATATTCTATTGATTAATTTTAGATTTATCATAGAAAAAAATGTAATAAAAAATAACCACAATTGCATACTCAATCAGTAATAAATCCATCATATTATGTATATTTTTTATAAATAGTTATAATTGTTTGTGCACCCATTATAAACAAATTACCTTTTACAGAAATAATAATTTTTAATAGTTTGGCATAAATAAAGCATTTTTTATGTAAATATTACCCATAGTAGAGAAATTGAAAACTGAAAGAAAAGGACATAATATTATTAGCTACAATAATATACATCCAGCGACAACAGGGATGGCAAACGGAGGCGAAAAGGGAATCCAATAAACCCCGTTCGTCCTACTGCTAAACCTTTTGGGAGATACTCACGGCGACGATGTAATAAAAATCAGGAATGCCTTTTAAAACGGGCTGTAGCACACAAAAAGGGATGACGATTTTGGTTTTCTCTCCCGGCCATTACATAGGCATTCCAAAGCTGCTAATAATGGAACCGGCCCATTCTTCGTCATTGCTACATCGTGTCGCCCTCCAGCCCAGCATTTGTTAACTTGACAAATTTAATTAGCCCACTGTTCTTTTGCTCGTTTGGCGATAAAATCTGTAATTAAAACACTTAACCCGTTATTACCAGAGCGGAGATTTTTCATACTTGTCTGTTTTCGTTTTGCACAAAACACTGTATCGTTTTCACTTTTCGGTTCATTGTTTCGGTCTGAATATTACACAATATTGATTGTTTTCAATTATAACAATAAAATTGTTTTTTAGTTATAAATAAATTAAAATTTTTTAATTTGTTTTATAAAATAAGTACAAAGTTATAATTTAGGCAAACATTTATTATTAAAAAATGTTAAATGTGTTTTCTTCAAACTCAAATTAAATAAACAATCATTTAAAATTGATTCAGTGGCTATAAATAACATTATTATAATATTATATTACAATATGCAACAAATGTAATTTTAGCAGAATCTTTAGGAGGTATGCATTTAATTTTATATACTTTAATACATATAAATAGTAAACATAATAGTTTGATTTTGGGGTTCTTATTAGGTTAAAATCGTTTAAGCTATTGTAGCGTAAAAGGGATCACCGGCCTTATTACCAAAAAAATAATAATTTTCATCAAAAATTGTTTGACATGATAAAAACACTAAATACAAATTTGAGTCCACAATGGATAGTTTGAGAACTTGCCATATTCACAGCTGCGCTTAATGCATTTCTTGATGTCCAGATATTTGGATGTTATTTTTACTTGTGTCAAAACTTTAAGTCAACATTAGGAGATCCGCACCTAATTTCTAAGTGTAGAAACAATTTGGAATTTACTTTAACAGTTAAAAGCATTATTACAAAGGCGTATGTTCCGACATCAGATCTGGAAAAGCTTTTGATATTTTATCGTATAATTCAC